TAGTCCTCCTTCTGCGCCTCCATTTATTGAACTCCGTTCTATTCACCATGGATTGATATCGGAGTTGAAATCTTTTACTTGCCCAGTTTAAATCCCCAAGAAGAAAATCGTAGTCCCAAGAGACAGGAAGAAGCATTTTCAAAGGTAGTCTTGTACAATGAAGTGAAAGGGCGCAAACTATTGCACGATGGAGGGAATTTCAGAGGAAGTTAGAAAGAGATAAGAACAAAGATAAAAAATAAAAATTTAAATAAAAATTGAAAAATGCAAGGACACAACACGTACTAATCGAATTAGTTTCTTCCATATTGGCTAATTACCAATAACAAAAATTTAGGAGAGAGCAATGATTTTAGAATTGAGAAACTAAATGAAACTCTGCTATGAAAATTGCAGTATCAAGCACCATAAGGATACATACGGTAGACTTAGTGAGCTTGCTAATCATGATGAAAAAGTCTTCTGATTTTCAGAGTGTCACTTCGTGTATGTTTTGTATTAAAGAAGATACAAAAATTTGTTTAGGGGTCGTTTGGATGGATCAATTGTAAAACGAGACAATTTTACCAATTGTTTCATTTTACAAAACGAGTCATTTAAAACGAGTCAATTCAGATTACCTGCCCCCACCCCAGACAATTGTAATTGACTCAAAATGAGTCAATTCAGAATTCCCCAGCCCAAATTGCTTCATCCAAATTTTATGCTGCCAAACGGATCAATCTGGCACAATTGACTCAAAACGAGACAATTGTGTCAGATTGATCCATTAGAATTCCTCATCCAAACGACCCCTTAGTGTAATTGGTTGCGGTTGTTGTTTTTCTTTGAAAAGACCCAGATTCAAATCCTGATATTGACACTTTTTATATGGAATAAATAATTAATTATAAAGGCAAAAATACCCTTATTACTTTCACTCTCGTTGTAGAAAATTTGAAATAGAGAAAAGTAGACAAAAAACTACTATATATTATATATTATGAAGGAGACTTAGGTGTCGTCATTAAAAGAGATTAAAAATTGGTGGCTCGTCAACTTGCTTGTGAATTGAAGTCTAGACTTGCTCGTGAATTGAAGTCTAGACCTGTATTGTCTAGAGTGTTATCAAATAGTGTGAGCTCCAGATCCATAATTAGAGTTCAAAGCAGCCTAGGGCTAGAAGTTTGGTACCTATATTTGGGATATACCAAATACCATACTGAATTTATCACTATTTGGTATTACCGAATATCGATTTATTTTTTAGGGATTGAGATTGGGATTCATTTTGGAGTACTATTCGGTATTCAGGATTACGGGATTGGGATTAGTATATACCGAAATACCAAGAAATACCAAAAATAAAAAATTAATGAAATATAGCACACGGCCTTTGATTATTCCTCACTCTTTCACAAGTTAGAAGCCCTCATCCAACTCAATTTTGACTTCCATTCTCCTTATCCATATCCTAGCTCTAGGCAAACTCAAAACACCTTGCTTAGTCTCTTTGCCCTAAATTAAACAATCAAATCCACTTTATATTTAATTATTAATTACAAATGTAATTAATTTCGTATTCGATAATATCGATTATGATATCGAAGTGCCGATTGTGATACCAAAATATTTAGGGATTGAGATACCAAAATTATTTAGGGATTGAGATTGATTTTAAGATGTAATTCGGTATTCAAAATTTTGATATTGGGTATTGAAATACCGATACTGTACCGATTTCCACCCTACTTATAGCTAGTTTACCCTAGTATGGTGCATAAAACCTTTTCTATTTTTAATGTGAACTCGTGTCCATTTGAATTTTTTATTTTGGCTTGTTACTGAGTTGCAGGATGTTGTTCTTATATTGGGTGAAGGGAAGAAAAAACAGACTCCGTGTTGAAGGACATGACCATTGAGCTATAACTAGAGTTGAAAGGCAAGCTGGTTTTCATTTTCCATTGTTCTTGCTTGTGGTGAATGCCCCATTCGTTCTACATCTCCACTTCGTAATAACATTAATTCAACTAATGCTGAAGAACTAGTGGAGACATGAAGAACAAAGGGAAACAACCATGCACATAGTTACAACTATGAACAGAACAACAAAAGGTGTAGTAGTACTAGAAGTATAGAACAGACTCCGCCAAGCTAATCAAGGAACAGGATCTTCTATGCTGTCACAAGAGATTTTCCAAGAATGATATCGTCCGTCGAGAAATCAGCCTCTTTCCTGAACGTTCCCCTCCCGAAATCTAGCTCATATGAGTCTGTCAGGCCCTCTACCAGGTCGAACTCTGGCTTCCATCCAAGGACATGTTTCGCCTTGTCTATGGACGCGAAGAAATGCTGCAAACATTCATCACCCCCAGAAACAAAATCAAATCAGTCAGGCGTCTTCTGAAGAAAATCATGTGGTTCAGAGTGTCACATTTCACAGTTTATGAATGTACCTGGTCGCGGAATGGGAATGCCTTCTTCTTCCCGAAATCATACTCCTTCGGATTGTAATGAATAATCTCGGGCTCTGGAAATCCACCAGCCTTGCAAGATAAATGCAGCAGTGATGCTTCAGTTTTTTTCATATCAACGCAGCTTTTGGAATAGTACGATATCATGTTGCTCTTTCGTTAAGGGTCATTACCTTGGCGCATGCTCTAGCTAACCCATCAAACGTAACATACTTCTCACCAGATATATTGAACACTTCCTTGCTGGCCTTATCATTCCCAAGCACTGTAATGAATGCTTTTGCCAAATCCTGTATATTAACAACCAAGAATCATTTGTTTTTATCTCCCTTTCTGCAATATCAAATGTGTGATTAGAGGGAATCAATTTTACACAAACCTTGACATGGCCAAGCTGGGTCATTTGGATGCCGGAGTTGGGAATTGGGATGGGGCGACCAGCCTTCAACCGGTGGAAGAACCATTCCTCTACAGGATTGTAGTTTAGAGGTCCATAGATGTAGACTGGCCTTATAGATGTCCAGTTGACTCCCGTCGATTCGAGATAGCTCTCTGTCTCGAGCTTCCCCTTGTGCCTGCTCTTGGGATCAACAGCATCTACCTAAAATCATAACCCTCTCAACATCAGCAAGCAAGAATCACAATGATAATCATGTGCTCGTCAAGTAAATCAGATTCCCAGCAGAAAAGGAAAGTATATCACCAACCTCGCAATGGGGTAAGAGATCAGATTTTAGGTAGACTCCAGCTGAAGAGCAGTAAATAAACCTGAAAATTAGCCCAAAACACCCCATATGAGAAGACTTTATATTCACTACCAGTGGATATTTAGTTGTTATGCTGATGCTTTGTACAATCGTCATATGCAGAGCTCTTCAGTATAAAGGATAACTAAGGTTCATCACACTGGCTAGAGAGCCTTACTGTTCAAGGTTTGGTAGTGCTTCTATGATGGGTTCAACTTCAACAGCCTCACGTCCTGCCAAATACAAAGAGAAAGGAAATGAAATGTCAAACAGAGAATGAATTCAAGAAGGGGGCTTTAACCAGACACGAAGTCAAGGTAAGTTTATATAATGCTACCATTGATATCATAGACAACATCGAAGCCTTTGGCTGCAAGGCTGGTCTTCACAAAGTCGGAGTCTTTCCTATCTCCTTTCAAATGCAATATCTTACCATAGAGAGCAAACACAAATGAGCATCAGTAATGACCAGTCATCACTTATATACACACAAGCTAGTCATTATGAATGGGGATTGTGGCTGTTTCAATGAATACCTTAGATGAGAAGTCAGCAAAATCCTGGTCTGATTCCCCAGGTAATTGCTGGGCAATCGGTGCCTTCCCTCTAGTAAACAAGGTCACCTGCCAAAAGGGTTTAATTCTCAGCTGGGTTTGGGTATGGATGAAATAACAAAACAAGAAGAAAAACGAGCGATAAGGAAGAAAATAGAATACTACCTGGTGGCCCTCTTTAACAAGAAGTCTGGACAGGAAGATACCAATGAATCGAGTGCCACCCATGATCAGAATGTTATTGGAGCTGCTGGAGGCACTGACCTGCAATGCTCCTCTGTTTTGCATACCCAGCTTTCTCTTGAACTGAGCAAGTACAAACAAAAACACAGGCCATGAAAAGGGTGAATTCATGTTCTGATTGCGATTGGGAAAACAAAAACAAGGAGAAGTTAAAGTAGACAAGAAGATTAGGACCTGGAGCTGAGATTGGAGTCGTGCGCCATTGAAATCAGAGAGAGATGAAGTGAGAAGAGAGAAAGAAGGGTGAGACTGAGTGGTTGGTTGCTGTAGTGAGACCATTCTCGCCATGGATTTTCACGACACCTCCTCCTCCTCTTCTTTCCCTGCCCTTTTCTGGGTCTGCTAAAATTTGTAGTTCTGTTATCTGAACCACAGCCCATGATCTTCTTCTGTTTCAGTCTTTCAAAACATTCAATGGGATAAGACAAACAATGACAACCTCTCATCACTCTTCCCTCCACTGATAATCCACACCACAATCAGCAAAACAACAAGACAGAGGAGTTGCTTTTCCTTTGCTTTGCATCTCGCCACAAAACAGGGGAAGAGAGTTCGAGGATCCCAGGCGGGGAATGGCCCAAATTTAGAAGAACTTAGCCCACGTTTTAATGGGCCCGTTACTTTGGGCCTTCTACGAGGGAGTATCCGTCGTCGTCTTCTTCTTCTTTCTTCATCCTTCGCTCGCCATGAAGCTCGGCGAGGAGAGCACAAAGCTTCACGTAAATCATATCCTGAACAAGAACCAGAAGAAGAAGACGACGACGAAGAAAGCAAAGAAACGAGGAGCGCCATCCGCCATAGCCATCTCTACAATCTACCATCACGAAACCCAATAATGAATCTCAATCCGGTGAGTCCACTCTCTGACGCTGTATCCAAATCGATCCGATTGCCGGATTCAATTCGTTAACAAAAAGTGGAATGGATGTTCATGAATTCATCTCAAATTGAATTGGGTTGATCGTTGTTTAGTGTTCACCTAACCCTCTCTTCTCTGCGTTTGGAAGCCTCCTGAGGAGAATTACGCCAACCCGAGGACATGCCTCTTTCATGTTCTTTTCAAGGTTGTATTCCAATTGGCTGTTCCTCTTTATCTACTACTGAATTCACCTCTCAATTAGGTCATATGATTGAATGCGCTGTGTTGGGTTGGCATCGATTTTCTGGCAGAGGCTGCATCGTTTTCATTCTACATATTCTCTGCCCTCTTCATCAACAACTTCGTGATCATATTCGTGGTCACTGTTCTTTTGGCCGCACTTGATTTCTGGGTGGTCAAGAATGTTAGTGGCAGGATTCTGGTCGGCCTAAGGTGGTGGAACGAGATAAACGACCTCGGCGAGAGTGTGTGGAGATTCGAATCCCTCGACCAAGAGGTCAGGTTGTACTGTAACTTCGATCTCAAAGCACATGTTCATATCACATTTGCTCTACTTCTCTTCCCTTGAGGGTTTCTCTTGCTTGAGCGCGATTCAATGGTAGTTGTGATTTCATGAATTCGTTTTTTGCTTTGGATCAGTCGTTGGCTCGAATGAACAAGAAAGATGCATGGCTATTTTGGTGGACACTCTATCTCACGGTAAGCCAGTAAGAAAAATGGTGAAGATCAAGCCAATCGACATTTTTACTATTAGTCTACTACTGCTAGTAGAGCTTATCGTTTTCGTACTCCGATTCGTGCAATGTATTTATAGGCAGTTTTGTGGGTGTTCCTTGGGATCGTCTCTCTGATAAGGTTCCAAGCTGATTACTGCATCATCATCGGTGTATGCCTGACTCTCAGCGTTGCAAACATCATTGGTTTCACCAAGTGCCGCAAAGGTGAATACTTTACCACTAGATAACTAATGAGTTTCTTGTCACATCAGTGCATCATTTACCTTTTGTTGCAGCGGGATCTGCAGTTTTTGTCAATGAAGTAAATTGCTTTTCGCACTCTTAATGAAAGTGATGGATGCACTGTTCTGTTTCTGGATTTGCAGATGCGAAGAAGCAGTTTCAGCAGTTTGCAACCCAGACTATAGCTTCTCGAGTCTCGTCCACCATTCAATCTGCATTCAGTGTTGTGTGAGAGATGCTGTGAGCTGAGCTGAGCTGAGCTGAGGGGAAAACTACAATGCAGGGAGGAGCCATAGATAAATAAAACCGTGGCCACAATTTTGAGCAAGTATTGTAGGGGCTAGAAAAAGGAATTACCACAGCATTAGATTGGTTTTTCTTTCTGTTTGTATCATCTTTTTTTTTATATATGTATTAGCTTGTTGCATAATGGAAAGTAATGTTGGAAACTGTGTTTTTTACTGAGGGAGTAAACTTTTTGTGGAACTGCTGAGGAGCTACCTTCCTTATTTGATTTCGCAATACGTTCAACTAATATAATAAAGAATTATCTAGGAGACTCCGACCTATTTCTAACAAAATTTTCAATCAAATTATTCTGACTAGTATGTCAAAATTACTCAAATTATTTATGAGGATGATCATAGAGCATTCTAATTAGATATCAAGTAAGAGGAAGAAAAATCGAAATGGTTCGAGTAGTATGAGTTGAAATCAAATCGACTAATTTTTTCGGTTTTGATCAATAATGCTAATTAAAGTCCATATATCATTCTCTATATAAGCGATGATCATACTTATATATTCGATTTGGACAAAAACATCACGTATGTTGTTACTGTTAATGCTGATCAGTTTGTTATAATAATAAACTTTGGTGACTAAATTGCTATTTACCTGAAATCTCAGTGGTGAATACTGTGATTTAGGGATGTCCAAACGGAGTGGTAACCATTATAATCGGTACTATTTGGATAATTTGGTTTGGTAATTTTTTAGCTTGTTTGGTTTAGGTGGTTCGGTTTTGTTTCAGATACTCCTAACTAATAAAACCAAATTAACCATTTAAGTAATTAGTTATATATCTAATATATATCATATACACATAATACTTTGAATAACAACTCAACAACTATATGTTCCTCCTTTTAGACCCATGAAAAATAAAGCTCAATATGGTTCCTATGTTGTATAATTATATTTGTAGAATGTATAATTGTAGATCACAACATATATACGTCTAATTTAGATAAAATTCATACATTATATTGGATATATTAACCCCATACCATTGACATATATTTTTGTCAGGTGAATATTTATATTGAATGTAAGATAATTGTATTAGTTGTATGTATTTATGTTAAAGATTAACTACAATTATGTGTTGATTGTTATGTTTTATTCATTATATTAATTGTGAATTGATGCATTAATCGGAAATTTTTGTTGAGAATGTGATGTTATAGTGATTAATCTGGTTAACCAATTCACCAAACCGATTGACTTTAGTTTGGTTAATTTGATTGTTGTATTAGTTTGGACGCTTTGGTTATAATATTGTATTCCATGGCTATTAGAATTTAGGGTAATGTCTATTTTTTTATCCCAACCTTTTTCAGATTCTTTTATATTAGGAAAAATCCATCTGTGTAGCCAAAACTTTGACGTTTGTGACAATAATCCCTCGCCTCCACTTTTTTCGCGCAGACCCCGTCTCCCCTGTTCAGTGAAGACCCCTTCTCCCCCGTTCTGCGGCGTCCCCGCCTCCGCTGTTACTCGCCATCCATGACCGTCGTAGCTCCGCGACGTCCCTTGACTTTGTCGTAACTACCTCTCCTCTTCCCAATTGTTTCCTTCACTCCTTCACAGAGGTTCGTCATGTCTCACGGGGGTGGTCTGTTGCTATCACAATGTTTGTGACTAATAGAGCTGGTACTGAGTCCAACTCAGGGAGGAGATTCTACGGATGCTAGTATTGGATGGTAAACGAGATTTTGAGAAGCTTCATTTTTCATTTGTGTATGTTTGAGAGTTGTGACTATAGAATCTGTTGATGCAGGAACCAAAAAAGAACTACAAATTTTTTAGTTGGGTGGAAGGGTCGGTGGATGAAGTCGATGCAAGAAATCCTGCCATAGACAGTACAATATTAAAGCTTCAGGAGAATTTACGGTTGGCTGAGGCTAAGGCAGAGAGGATGAAGAAGGAGAGAAAAATTGTAGTCGAAGAGCTGAGGAAGGTTAACGACGATGTTCGTGTCATTCGACATATGTTCGTCGTTGTTATTTTGTTGAATATAGTGTTACTTGTGGTAATGTTGGTGAACCGTAGTAGTATGATTTAGGATGAAGTGATCGAAGTTAGTGTTTGTAGTCTATAAGTTTATCGAAGTTGGATTTTTGTAGAATGCTTTATAACGTGTTCTGTAATGAATTGACTTGTAATGTAGTGTTGATGCAAGAGATCGAAGTATGAATTAGCTTGCAAAGTGTTGGAGCAAGAGACCTGAATTGCACCTTAACATCCATACATTCATAACCTGCTCCATCTGTCTTAACAAACCCGGACTTAACATCCATAACATCCATAATGATTACGTAAGTCTTAACAAACCATCTCTTACCATCCTTAACTAGGTCTAAACATCCATAACAGTCATCTACTAACATTACTAACATCCATAACATCCATCTCCTACCATCCTAACATTCATCTATTAACACTGCTCTGAAGGTAGATTACACCACGAGTCACATAGCAAAAAAAGCTCCACTGAGGCCATCCATAACCCGCATAGTAAGCAAAAAAGGTGACTCTTGGTGACTTTGACATCTAAGGTTGTGCCGGAGGTGGCTGGCTTCCTTGGATGTCCATCTCAGTGGGCTGAGTACCACCAGTAGGACGCCCCATGCTCCAGCTAGCTGAAACAGAACCAGAAAGTAGCAAAAAAAATCAGAAACAGAAAGTAGCAAGTTAATGAGGCCAAACATTCAAACTAAATCCTACTGCTTACCCTCACGTACTGATTCTTAGTTGCCTCACTTACATACACTCCTATCCCTCTTATTGCAACTCGCATCTCATGCTCAATCATCCTCGAATCACCAACATTTAAGATAACATCCTAGACAATATCAATAGACACTTATTCAAGTTTCACCCACATACAATCTAACATAATGTACATTATATTCATTCAAAATTCTCATAAGTCTTACTTGTATACCGATACCTTGGTTGAGGGGGCAAGTTCTCGCATTATGTGTTGCCGAACCACACTTAGAACACTGGAGAACTCGTTTCCTCCTTGTATTAGGGACTGCATTGTTTCCAGTTGCAGCAGTGGGGACATCATTGTTTCCACCAGCAGTATTGTTTCCAGCGGCAATTGTTGTCTCCAGCTGCAACAGTGGGGGCAGTATTGTATCCACTAGCAGTGGTGTTTCCAGTAGTGCGAGAAGTCCTCCTTGTTGTTGTTTGAGCATGTCTTTCAGCTCCTTGAGCGTTAGCCTACATAGTAGAATGGTTGTGTTAGTAAAAAAACAAAACAAAAAATCAAAAGTTTCTTAACAACTTAATCAAACTAACTTGAATCTCAGCAGTAGTAGCTTTGCAGCCCCTTGAATTATGTCCCTCACCCCCTAATTTCTTGCAATGGATGATACTACCCCTTCTAGTTACCTCCTCGCCAACCCCATTCCTTTGAGGACTCGTTTCCAGCTCATGCGCAGCCCTTCGTTGCTTCTTTTTAGGCCTTCCCGACATGGCTCTTTGCTTCGGAGGGTGAACTGGAAGACCAGTAGCCTCCAGCCAAGCATGTCTTCCGTCTAAGCAAGGGATGCCAACCTTGTATGCTCCAACAACATGGTGGGCATGGTAGCAAGGATGCACATAATCATCCACTACTCCTCATGTGTGAAATTGCCGAGACAACATGGAAGCAAGGCAAGCCACTCCATTTCCAGTAACCACATGTACAACTCTTGTCATTTAGCTCCACAATGTAGCCTGAATCACCCATCTTCACTTCACACTTGTCATCTAAGGTCTGCCTAGCAACACACAACCTAGAGAATTCCTTCACTTTATCTACCCTCTTCCTAATTCTAGGGCACAACATATCAGGGGTGTCCATTAACATGTTGTACTTAGGGCTGTTAATGAGCCGAGTCGAGCCGAGCTTTGCCATAGTTCGGGCTCGGCTCATTAATATATTTCCAGGCTCGAGCTCGGCTCGTGTTCGTCACGAGCTTTAATATGCAAGCTCGAGCTCGGCTCGTTTATGAAAATGAAAGCTCGAGCTCGGCTCGAGCTCGGCTAGTCAAATAAGCTTAACGAGCCCAAATTCGAGTTCAGCTCATAAAATGTTCATGATAGCTCAAGATTGACCTAGAACTGCGCACAAAATTACATTCAAAACTGTAACAAAGTCTAGAAAAGTAAAACACAATATTTATCCCAATTTCAATACATAAAATCTATGAATTCTAATACTTTTTTATGCCAAAATATTAAATGAGCTTGTTCGCGAGCTTTCGAGCTGAACATGATATGGTTCGAGTTCGGCTCGTTTAGTTAACGAGCTTGTTCGCGAGCCGGCTCGATTAAAACGAATCGAGTGTCGAACGAGTTTTTCTCGAGTCGCACACCGAGCCGTTCATGAGCGGCTTGGTTCATTAACAACCCTAGTTGTACTTAATGACAAAACGGTCCATCATGTACAACCTAATACCCTCTAGCATGTCGATTATTCTCATACCCCTATACTTCACAATTGTCCCATTAAATGTCTCATAGATATTGCTCTCAACACTATCACACTTAGACATAGTCGACATGAATGCTCGGTAGAAGGTTCTAGGTTCGGCAACCATAAAATCAATAAAGGGTGTGGATCCAAATTCAGTACCTTGAATTGCCTCCATTTCATTGGTGGCCTTCTTCCAATCGACTTTATTGCAATCATAAACTGTTTTCCAGAACAGTTTATGAACCCGGTTAGTTTTGTTCTTTGCCTTCCAGTTCGCATAAACATGGTAGGCACACTTGCGATGCTCGGCTTCGGGAAACAACTCATGTGTAGCATCAATCAGACCCTACAAGCTCAAAGGAAACAGTTAACAAAATCAGCAAGTTAAAGAGGTCATCCTCGAGAATTAGCAGCAAGTTAAAAAGCATATAGTCTGAAATAAAAATCTGACCATTTGTTGGTCCGAGATGACTGTCCAGCCCCTACCATCTATTAACCCCATGATCTGGGTCCCATTCAGGATTGATCCTGAACCTCTCTAACATGTTGCAATCCACTTCGCCGTAACTGGATTCACCCGAAGCTATCTCGACAAGAATGTGGCAGCCCCACTTTCCTTACCATAAAAGGTTGCTTCTTCTTAAACCAGCTTGAAACAGTTTCCATTTGCAGTTCTCATCCTTGCACTTCACTTCCCTCCTTGTAGGGTTACTCCTTGTCCACCTCAAACAAGCC